CAACAGCAGAACCAACAGTAGAGCCAACAGCAGAAGCAACAGCAGAACCAACAGCAGAACCAACTGCAGAAGCAACAGCAGAACCAACAGCAGAATCAACTGCAGAAGCAACAGCAGAACCAACAGTAGATCCAACAGCAGAAGCAACAGCAAAAGCAACAGCAGAAGCAACAGCAGAAGCAACAGCAGAAGCAACAGACGAATCAACTGCAGAAGCAACAACAGAACCAACAGTAGAGCCAACCGCAGAATCAACAGCAGAAGCAACTGCAGAACCAACAGCAGAATCAACTGCGGAAGCAACAGCAGAACCAACAGTAGAGCCAACCGCAGAATCAACAGCAGAAGCAACTGCAGAACCAACAGCAGAATCAACTGCGGAAGCAACAGCAGAACCAACAGTAGCGCCACCCGCAGAAGCAACAGCAAAAGCAACAACAGAACCAACAGCAGAAGCAGCAACAGAACCAACGGCTGAAGCAACAGCAGAACCAACAGCAGAATCAACTGCGGAAGCAACAGCAGAACCAACAGTAGAGCCAACCGCAGAAGCAACAGCAAAAGCAACAACAGAACCAACAGCAGAAGCAACAACAGAACCAACAGCAGAAGCAACTGCAGAAGCAACTGCAGAAGCAACAACAGAACCAACAGTAGAGCCAACACCAGAGCCAACAGCAGAATCAACAGAAGAACCAACAGCAGAAGCAACAGAAGAACCAACTGCAGAAGCAACAGCAGAACCAATAGCAGAATCAACTGCAGAAGCAACAGTAGAACCAACAGCAGAACCAACAGTTGAACCAACAGCAGAACCAACAGTTGAGCCTTCAGTAGAGCCAACAGCGGAAGCAATAGCAGAAGCAAGAGCAGAGACAGCCAAAACAGAAGTAGTTGCCGCGGATAAGACAGCGGCTTATGCGCACACATCAATGACACCGGAAAACGACTACACTTCGAATGTACCTATCTATACAACTACAGAGAAACCACTTGACTATTATGGGGAGCACCATTCAACTCACACAACCAAGGATCAGCAGCCTCCATTTTTCGTCTTCGATAAAACAACAGGGCCGTCGACAGCAAGTAGTACATCGGTTGGAGTAGTAACAACGCCAGCAACTACTGTAATTATGACAGCCACGTCTGAGTCCGTCGCTGTACCGAAGGTCGCCTCACCAGCTGTGGATTCCGCGAGAATAGAACCAGCGGCTAAAACCACGAAAGACAGCGGAAAGATGACTGGCACAGATCTACCCAGTACGATTACCCCAGCAACAGAACATACCACGTTCATAGATACCACGGTCGAACAAACGACGATATTTAAGTTTGAGATTGTTCACCGAACTCAACCACCTACAGCTGCTAAGTCATCGACCACGCCGGAGACGACAGAAGCTACAGCACCGTCATCTAGCGAAACTCCTAAAATGATTACAGCAACGACGACAGAGGAATTTAGTACACCCATCACAACGCCCACAGCAACCACGATGCAGCCAACCAGTGAAGCTATTACAACAACCCCAGCTACACGACCGGTAACTCGCGTTTTGACATCAAGGCATCCGGCAACTAGACGCCCACCAACCACTGACTCATGGTCCACAGAAGACGTGAAGATATATAGCCATGCCACCACGTATACAGCCGAACCAACGTACCCTCCCCTGACATTTCCTCAGAACAATGGTATAACCGTGGTGTGTCCACCCGGTAAGTGTCACGCCATCACTGGCTAACATTTTCTATAATTTTATCTGCTTGTAACTTTTCATCATCTGTGAGATTCCCACACGTAAAATATTTTAACACACGTATGAGAAGTTATTAATTCAAGCGCACGTATTTGCGAATTTGCATGTTCACGCGTTTACATCGAAGACGTGTGTTTGCACTTTCAGAGACGTTTCAATGCAACCAGGGTGGTTACAGTTTCACCGACTGTTTGCCAAATAATTATCGTTGTGATGGCGTTGTTGACTGTTCGGATGGCACCGATGAGTTATACTGTATGAGTGAGAACTGCGCCGATAACTTCATGTGTAACAGTTCTCAGTGCATCAACAAACACTACCTGTGCGATGGCATCTGGGATTGCACAGACGGTAAGCTCACGTACAGCATTACATTTGAGATTAATAACGTTACGGGGTTAAAGTTTTGACGAAGCGTCTTGAAGCTTGAACTACGAACTGTCAATGCCTATGATTTGCCCCGTAACGCTTCATGCCTCTATACGCCAGCAGTACTCGGTCATGCTCTGTTTGTGTATAGGAAGCGACGAAATGCCTGTCTGCGAAGAGAAGATGTGCACTGAGGAAGAGTACAAGTGTTCAGACGGCTACTGCATACCGAGAACGTGGTTGTGCGATGGTGAATACGATTGCGCCGGAAAGGATGACGAGAAAGCGTGCTGTAAGTAGGACCTTGTATCCTTAGATGACATACTCCTCTTCCTCGTCATCATCCTTCTCCTCATACGCCTGCTCTATCTCTCCTTACACTCTTTCTTCTTTTTCATCTCTTTTCCTTCTTCTTTTCTGTTTTTGCCTTCGCTTTATTCATCATTATGATCATCATCGTCGTCATCATCATTATCACCATCATCATCGATCATCATCATCATCATCATCATCATCATCATCATCATCATCATCATCATCATCATCATTATCATCATCATCATTATTCTTTTGTCATCACGATCATCATCATCATCATCATCATCATCATCATCATCATCATCATCATTATCGTTATTATCATCATCATTATCGTCATTATCGTCGTCGCCGTCGTCTTCTTCTTATTATTATTTTTAATTTGCCGCCTCCCTCTTCCTTCTCCTTCTCTTTCGTCTCTTCTTCTTCTTCTTCTTCTTCTTCTTCTTCTTCTTCTTCTTCTTCTTCTTCTTCTTCTTCTCTTCTTCTTCTTCTTCTCTTCTTTTCTTCTTCTTCTTCTTCTTCTTCTTCTTCTTCGTCGTCGTCGTCGTCGTCGTCGTCGTCGTCGTCGTCGTCGTTTCCTCCTCTTCTTCGTCTTCTTCTTCTTCTTCTTCTTCTTCTTCTTCTTCTTTTTCCCCATCATCTTCAATTTTGCGCTTCCTTTTCTAAGTGGTATATCTGTCTGACAGTGTACGTGCGGAAACCTGCGTTCCTGGTATTATCGCACTTCATGTTCCATGATCATCCAGTCTGATCATTTATCATCGGCAACGAGTGTTGAGCAGCAGGTGTCCTGTAGTCCACAATGTACGCATCTCTCATTCCTCTCATCCTACTTACTCAACCATAGCATTTAGAAAGGTGTTTTACACCCTACCTCCTAAATAACGGATTCAAGCCAAGATTTCAAGTTATACATTCGTGCTAAGCCGCGTGTAAAGTGTGACAAAGACATCGCTCTCACAAATTAATTCAATACCAAAAATTTGTAAAACCTAACGATTCTAATGAGTTGCATTAATGCATAGGCGTGACGTAAGTGACTATGAATTATGACCCGGAAAGACTTCTATTCTGTCATTACAAGTGTGAAATTTTCTATCAAATCTTTAGACAACCTTCCCGAGGAATGTGAGGCGGGTCAGTTTTGGTGCTCGCAGGACAGGACGTGCATTCCCCACAGTTGGACATGCGACAGAGTGCCGGACTGTACATCGGGAGAGGACGAAGTAGACACATTGTGTGGTGAGTATTTTTGGCAAGAGCACACAACTTCTACGTCTCATAACTTTGCACTCGAACAGTCGAGAATATTTATTTTGCTACGAACCGGATACGACACCCAGACAAGCATTGGTTTACGGGCAGCATCGGGTACACAACAGGGCTTTAGTAACCCTCTAGTAAGTAAATAGAAGATCGATGCAGCAGATTCGATAGATCCAATATGATGTAAACACATTTTGATAAATCATGTTGTAATAGGCTATTTTAAAATAGACTAAAATTTATTTTTCATAAAGGTGGAAAATAGAGGGAGCGCCAAAATTGATTTTGTGCCAAATAATAACTGACTGGAGTAATGAGTGTGTATATTTTCGCTCTTAGCGTGCACTGACGACCAGTTCCAGTGCAGTGCGGGTGGCTGCATTGGTCTGTCCGAGCGCTGCGATGGGCAGCCGAACTGTGACGACGGGTCCGATGAATGGGGTTGTGTGAAGCTGCATCAATCCGGCATCGTGCAGGTGCTACACTCGGACGAACGCTTGTTGCCCGTGTGCAGCGATGGGTGGACACGCGACTGGGCACACACCGTCTGCCTACAGCTTGGATATAGGTTATTATAGCTATCATAACAGCCCACGAGATGATGCTGTAGGCAATTTCGGCTATCGCATTCACAGTAAAACGAATGTAAACACATAATAAACGACCAAGAAAAATGAGTTAAACATCACTTTATTGTATTTTCTGAAAATTCATTTTCAAAGCTGAATGTATTCTCACAAATGCGAGTGCGTAATTGTTCCCTGCCTGCTCATGCACATTTTAGCGCCGCAATAGAATCAGAAGCGGTGCCCATCGAAGGAACAAACAGCAGCTTCCGCGTACGACCAGAGAGCGATCCTTTCCTCACGTCAAACCTTGAATCGGCTGTTACGCTAAGGTACGTGTATGTATATTTCTCAAGGATTCTCAGCCTACTGGTGATTCTCAGCTACACAGTTGATTACGTCTCATTACTTTTTATACACTCAATGAACCGTTAATCATCTCGTGGTTCATCGCGTATGTATGCTTCATAATATAACATATAACTTCGCTTGTTCATGGACAGCCAGCAGAGATCCCGGTGCAATGTATGTCAAAATCCCAATTATAATCTATCTCTCTCTCTCTCTCT